ACAAATTACTAAGATTTGGTTTGTTATACAGTGATGGAAAATAGATACAAGTACCCACCTCCCAGAGTATATGAAATTGCTTAGCATAGTTTCTGGCATACTAATCTTAGATATTATTTTTGTCTCTTAGATTCTTTTCTTTGCAGACTTTGTACAGTGTCTCTTCATGTTTCACTCCTTGTAACTCAGAGACTGGTGATGAAAGGGAAAGACACAAATACAAGCCACTTTCTCTTTGAAATGTTTTGGGTCATCTCCACCCCTGTTCCCAGCCCCATGTTCCAACCCCAATTCATTCTTTGATTGTGAATCTAGAACCCTGTGGTCATTGCATAAACACTAATTAGTAGTAATGACATACATAGAATTTCCGAGCATAAAATCTTAGTATTTTGGTTCTTGTTCTCTCTTCTCTAGATTTCTACTTCAGCTCAAGTGTTCTAAATTCTACCTAGTGGCTACATGTGACTGGGAACAAAAGGAATGACAGATAATTTCATAGTGTCACTAATTACAATAACAAGTAGGAACTAGTGACTATTTTTGGATGAAGATTCCATTTGAAAACACGGATTTCAGATCGTCATCAATAGTTTCAAACAGAGAGGGAGGCAAACCATAAGATACACTTAAATACAGAGAACAAACTGAGGGTTGACGAGGAGACTGGGGGAAAGAGGAAAATGCATGATGGGCATTGAGGAGGGCACTTGTTGGGATGAACACTGGGTGTTGCCTGAAAGCGATAAATCATGGGGACATACTCTCGAAACCAAGAACACACTGTATATGCTGTATGTTAGCTAACTTGACAATAAATTATATCAGAAAATGCAAATTTTAGGTAAAGATTGAAATCGCTTTCTAACTCTCCATCCCACCCAACCCAGTTCCTTTGTCTCCCTCTTTCCTACTCTCCTACCTCTTATTAGGTTACTCCTATTCTTCTTTAGGCTCAATTTAGATATTCCCTTCACAGGAAGACACTCCCTGAAACCTTCACACCAGTTAGGAACCTTGCTTTTGAATTTCATAAGAGCCTGTGTATATTTCCATTTCCTTCAACCCCACACAGCAGATGGTGAGTTCCTTCAGGGCAACAGTTTTGTCATTCATCTTTGTGTCTCAGTGGAAAATAGCAATGAGAGCTATTATTTCCTAAATGCTTGCTAAGGACCAAGTGCTATAGTAAGCATTTTGCATGTATTGTCTCCCCCAACCCTTGCAACAGCCCTCAGAGCTGGGAGTTCCTTCTTATAGGTGAGGAAACTGAGGCTTAGAGAATTTAAGTATCTTGCCAGGTCACTGGCTAGTAAGAAGCAGAGTTAGGGCTTTGATCTCAAAGACTCAACCACTCTGTTCTGACACTAGTTAGGTCCTCAAAAAATGTTCTTTGAGTTGATGAGCATTTTCCAAATCTATTGAATTGTATGGCCATCAATGCCTCTTCCCCTTTCTTCTAATTTTTTTTTGGTGGGGAATCGAAGGGTGATTAAGAGATGAAATGGGGGGAATTAGAAGAGAAAAAAAGGAACTGAAGATTAACTCCTGAATGAAACAATATATGTATTATTATGCATTAAACATACTAAACTCTAGACACATGCAAACTTAAAAACACGAAAATGAAATGTGCAATAAAAATGTGCGTGGCTATTCAACATGACCATCGTATCTGGACACGGACAGTAGATGGGTCATTTGTTACCCATGTGGTCAACAATTCCACCCACTTCCATACCATTTCAATTGATTCATTTTCCCAGAATTCCATTCCATTATCCCTATTCTATTTTCCTGCACTGTGCTCTACTCCACTCCACTCCTCTCCATTCCGTTTCATTCCAGTCCAGTCCACTCTTCTCCACTTCACTCCATTTCATACCATTCCTCTTCAGGCCACTCCCCTGCACTTCATGCTGTTCCACTTCCCTCCCCTCTCCATCTTGCTCCACTCCATTCCACATCTTTCTTTTCCTTTCCTTTCTACAAAAACTCTATAACATATTGAGCATTATGTTCAGATGCTGGAGACGCAAAGCTGAATAAATACGGTCCTTATCCTCACATTCAGATTTTTCCCATCACCACCTGATAATATACCACCCCAATTCACAGCCCAACTGTACTGTCAATCCAAAATCACCACAGACCAGTTGCTATCTGATAAAAAACAAAACAAAACAAAACAAAAAAACAAACAAAAAAAAACAACAAAAAAACCCCCAAAAAACAAAACAAAAAAACCCAGTGGACACATAAAGATTTTCCTTTTACAGAATTCCAAGCAATCAAGTCAAATGATATCTAGGTATAGAGATAGAGTATCTTTCAAAATTACTTTCAAAGGACAATTACTTTCAAAGCATTTTACCTCCCACATGACTTTTCCTTTCAAAATACCTAACTACAGCTATTTGTAATTGACTGTTATAAGGTAAGTGCTCATGCTAAATCAAATGATGATCTAGCAGAGATGTCTTGACTAAAGCATTAGAGTCATGGAAAACTGCAGTTTTAGAAACTGCCTTTGGAAGGAGCATAGCTTTTAGAACTTCAGCTTCCCAAGACATAGTTAAGATTTTGCCTGTGCTTCAAGGAAAAACTAGGGGATGAGTCATGACTTGATGACTACTGGATACGTAGCCATTCTGGTGCCCCATCTGGGAGCTCACAAACATTGCGGAGGATTTCGCTTTAGAAAAAGACCAAGGGGGTGCCTGGGTGACTCAGTCAGTTAAGCATCCAACTGAACTTCAGTTCAGGTCATGATCTCACGGTTCATGAGCTCGAGCCCCACATCGGGTCTCTGCTGTCAGCAGGGAGCCTGTCTCCCCTCTCCCTTAGCTCCTCCTTGACTTGTGCTCTCTCTCTCTCTCTCTCTCAAAAATGAATAAACATTAAAAGAAAAAAAAGAAAAAGACTAAAAAACAATAACAATAAAAAAACCCAAAATACACCCCTGCAGTGCATTTACCAAGACCAGAGACTGCAAATCCACGTATAAGGCTGGATCAGTTGAGCTCTATAACACAGGGCTGGGTTGACCCAAGGGCAAGGGTGCCTGCAGCAAAGCTCTGGATGTTCTTGATTCATCACAGTAGAGCCTGGCTGCCTCTAGGAGCTCTTTCTGTGTGTGTTTCACAGTGGTCCAATGTGGGAAAAAAATGGGAAAATGTTTTTTGCTAAAAGACCATCCTTGAGTGTGCAGACAGGTATGTTTTTATTACAGTTTTATTCAGCCTGTTTCTTAGTTGACATACTTAATGTATTATATGATATATATATACATATATATATATATATATCAGTACAGTATGTGCTTATTTCCTTTTCTGAACTGGTATATGTGTATATAAGATATCCTATATATTCTTAAAATATACACTTAATTTTTGGTGTATTACTTGTGTAAAAAAATTGCACGTACACATGTATTTTCAGATGTATGTGGATACTCTTACAAACTGATGTTTTGGCTGAGACACATTCAGCGGAGACAAGAAGGTGCTCCGCCAAGAGGCATTCAATTTCAAAAGTAAGTGGCAAATCTCACTGGCATCAGTGGGTGGCAGGGCTTAGGAGTTAGAGATTTAGAGAGAGCACAGCACCAGTTCATGATGGCAACCTCGAGCGCCATCTCTCCTGTTCTCATTTCCTGTTTTCCTTCCCCACTTTCCAAGCCCAGACAGGTCTGAAACCACAATGATCAAACTAGGAGAAGTGGGTAAAAAGCTAGGTGGGACGTGGGAGGTTTTGGACAGGTTCCCTTTTCCTACGTCAAGCCCAAAGGGATGGGGTGAAGGGAGAGGACAAGCTAAGATTTATGTTGAATTTAGACTTTGGGTTACTTCCTGAATTGGATAATCCTTGCTAATGGGTTGAGAGTGAATGTTGAGTTTTAAAGTAATAATCAAGAGCGTCCAGAAAAGTCACGAGGCCTTCCTAAATTCTGTTCAGAGGCAAGGGAAGCACTAACTTGTAGGGAAGATTTAGAGTAAAGGAAGGCTGGAGGTAAAAAGAAAGTTCCACAAATTATTCAATATACTGGTTATATTTGTTTTGTGATCAATACTGAAGTAGGTGCTTACTACTCAGGAACCACATGCAATATTAAATTCTGCACAACGGGGAAGAAACCAGAGCACTAAAGGGGCGTTAAGTCATACGCCTAGTGTTGGGCTTTTACTTTCTTTCAATTGTTTTTGGTTTGCTTATTAGGAAACAGCTAAACACTTGCAAATGAAGCAGCATTTTTGATTTGTCTTTGCAAATTGCACTTTTGCAGTTACACTATTATTGCCTAAAACGGTGGCCTAAAGCCCTGAGTGGGAAGCAGACCGGAAGGGATGAACTGAAATACTCCGTGAGCAGACTCTACGACTGCACTGTTGCTGCTCCCCCAGCCGTTAAACTTATCTGCCCTTTTGTGGCTGCTGATGTAGAATTGGTACGTGACTTTGAGTATTTGACCATGTTCACAAATCAGTCATAGTGATTCCTGAATCTTCCATTGCTTTGTGACTCTTTCCACTCCCTTATGAGCATAAATGATTGTGGCATACAATCAGGGGAATCTGCAAAACACTGATTTTAATTTCTATTTCCTGTTTTTAGGTTATGCGTAAGACTATGAAGCCTGACTTTGGTTCAGAAATGTGGCCAACCTGCAGGAGTGCAGTTTTGACATCGCGGCCTGATTGTCTTTCCCTTCGTCCTATCTCAAAGAGTTTTTCATCACACAGAATGCACCATGCATAATTAGCAGCTAGGACACAGAGTACCTAACCACACATTTGAGTAGTGGCAATTCTAGCAGAGCAGATCTTGTCAAGCAGCGGGCTTTCTGAGACCGTTACAAACCACGCCCCACACCCATTCTCCCCTTACCTCTTCAGTGGTGCTGGAGAAGGGCCGAGTAGTCCAGGGGACCCAAGATGTCTCAGTCATTCCAGTCGTCTGCAGACTGGGGTGCTGTGTCTGTCTGCTGTGGCGGCTGTCGTGTTCTGTTGTACTTCTGGTGAAGGCCTCTGTGGTATTCCTAATAAGGTGTTCCGGGCTATACGGAACTGCATTAAAAGTGGTGGGGATTTGGGGTGGAGCCGTGTTTCTAGCGCTCCTTACCGAAACTTCTGCTCCCAGGCCAGCTGAGGTAAAGAAAGGACAGTTGCTAAAATTACCTTTGTGTTTTGTGGAGTCTTCACATAAAAGCAATTTGACTTCAGAAAAAGCAGGCCTCTTTCATAACAGGCATGCGAATGAGCTTCAGTTATATGAAAAATTCAAGATCTTGGAGTGTGACAATGCTAATTTCCAGTCCACCCATCCTTTGTCCATCTATCATAGGGTCAGGGGAGTTGTAGAAACCGCTACCAGAAAACCTCATTTCTGTGTAGAAGATAGAATTAAATTTACTCTCTGAGCATTTAGGGAGTCATGAAATTGGCTTCAGGGGGTCCATGAATCTCGAAAAACTTTATGCCACGTCCTAAATATATGTCCGTGCATACTTTTTTCTTGTGGGAGACTTTCACAGCTTTCATTCAACTTCTCAAAGGGGTCATTGGACAGAATGCCAGGCTGAGAATCACTACTAACAACTTGCCTAGCTTCGTCATGCAGATGGACGATTCTTGGGAAAGCAATGACTTTCTTTTACCACAGAGCCAACTGTTTCCAGTCCTAATTGTGTGAGCACCAAATCCTGGGACAGTTGTAGTTTCTGAGCTCCCTATCTTCTGTAATTGATTTAAAACTTACGAACTGGTGAGATTAATGTATAGCTTTACTTTGCAAGGCTGAATTGCCAAGACTTAAAAATAATTGATTTGCAAATTAGGTTCACCTAGCCATAATTTTAAAACGTGCTCTCCATCTGTTGGGGATTTCACTAACATATAAATTCTGGTTGAGTAAAAGTTGTCAGAGCCGGCACTCCTCACAAGTTCTCAGGGCATGCCAATGCTGGTGTTGATGGTCTTTGGACCACACTTCGATTAACAAGACCTGGAGAACAATCGTATAATATGAAGCGTTGGAAAGGACTGTAAATTATGGACTGAGGGTTATTCTATCAATTTCATTATGTGTCACAGTTTCCTAGGATATAAAATCTTGCCCAGTTAGATAACTATAATTTTGAAAAGTTTCTGGTTTAAAAACTGGCAGAAGGAAGATTTTATTTTTTACTACTCCTTTAGTGGTTCATTCAACCAACTATTTCTTAAGCAACTACTATGTGCTAGGTGAAGATCTAGGTGAAGGATTGCATTTTCCCTGTTCTGGTCCACCTTTCTGAGCCCTCTTTTGAATCTCATTTATTTCCATTCCAGTTTCAGTGGACATATTTTGTATGATAGCATATATAAAGAAGAGAGGGATAAGGCACAGAAAAGAGGATAGAAATGGAAAAAGTATTTTTAAAATTTAGTAAGATAAAAAAAATCTCACCAATTCTCTTAAAGGTTAACGAAATAATCACGACTGTATTAAGCACCCTCTTTGAGATGTGGAAAGTTGTGCAAAGTACCCTGTACGTGGGGTTGCCAGGTTTAGCAAATAAAAATATATAATGCCCAGTTACATTGGAGTTTCCAATAAATAACTAATAATTCAGAATATTTAGCATATGTCAAATATATAATATTACAAAGGTTATATTATATGTTACATATTATACTGGGAATGTACTGACATTAAAACATTGTCATTTATCTGAAATTCAAATGTAATTGACTGTTCTGTATTATAGCTGACAAACCTACCTGTAGATCTACTAGGCCTAGACTTTAATAGATTTTTGGACATTCCTGCTAGTTTCTATTTGTTTTTTCCTTCTGAATCATATGCCATTGCCATTGCGCCCAGGTTACTACCCTGAACATAGACCAGATTTATTTATCCCTGGGATGTTTTCTATATGACAAACCCAATTGTTCTATTAGCAATATTCGTTTATAATAAACTCCAAAAAGCAGCCTTAATTTTGCAGTCTTAATTGAATTAAGTGCTTGAATGTTCCTTCAAGAAGACATTTGTCTATTGTTGGGGTATAAAATTTTCTGTACGTAGCGATTGGTATTTTAGTTATTTTTGGGCTTTGACCAATGCCGGTCCTCTGCGTTGATTACCACCTATGACATTTTTAGCTTTTAGACCCTCAAAAAAAATTTAATTATGGGGTTAAGACAAAAACAAACTTCCAAATACATAGTATGTAATTATGTGTCTTAGCATGTCAACCTATGCTTGTTCCTCTTCACTGAGGAGGAGATGGTTAAGTTCTTGTTCTAAGAACTTTTTTTTATTCATCAAGTTACATGATTCGTTCAATGGATGAAACAAGAATCTCCCCAAATTAGATAAATGATCAAAACACTCTTGCAATTTCTGTGTAAGTAACATAGCTTATTACCATCACATGTAGCTTTGGAACATCTTATGGAAAAAAATTCAGTCTTCTGAAATTGTCTTTAACCTTCTAAGTGTATTTTTAAAACACTCCAAACAAGTCCATTTTACATTTTAGACCACTACCTTTTTTTCTAAAGAGAAAAAAAAAAAAAAAAGAATATCCAAGGTCGGTACCCCTTCATTTTGTCACTGTGTTTTTAACCTGTGCTATTTCAGAAGCAGGAAAGAAGCTTTAGTCTTAACATTTAGTTTCCAAATTTCGTGTGTTTTAAAGCAGTGGTCTGCAAACTGTGGTAGGCATCAGAATCCCCTTTGGAGCTTTTTAGAATATTGAAGGCTTGGCCCTTCACTAGGAGATTTGGTGTGGGATCCAGCACCTGCATGTCTAACAAGTTTCTCAGCAATTGTAATATATATCTAACTATAAGGTTTTATCCATATACTCAATATGAGCCAAACTGAATTCTAATCATTCTTTACGTGGGTATTGAAGGGTTTAAAGTAGATGGGAGGCAAGAAAATCCATTCTAGAAATATATACGGCAATCAAAATATGCTGGTCTTTTCAGCTCCTGAACTCTGTTGAAATGGGTGCTATGAAATTATATTGAAAATAGTATATCCTTGAATGTTTTGGTGTCTATAGATTCTTCTGACATTCTTTAAAAAGGTGTATGCATTTTACAGTTCATGAAAGAGTGAGATGTGTTTTGACAAATGCAAGGAAAAGTTCTTACACAATGGAACAATATGTTGAAGCTATTTTTAAAAGCTTTATTGTACCATTGCTACCACATTGTTTCCACTTTATGCATGATTCCTCTTAGAACACAATTCAAGATAAGGTATATCATCCTGGATACTATTTAAAAGATTTTAGCACTTAAGTTGCAGATAGCGCAACTGTAAGATGATTTTCAATGACTGTACCAGGTCAGGACGATATTTTGAATATATTTTTTAAAAAAGCAACATGTATTTTAGTTTATTAATTAGTCTATGAGTAGCTCAGATATGATTAATAATACAAATGTGATTTTTGTATAATGATAATAAAAATACACAATCTGTTAGTTTCCCTCCTTTAAATGATATGAGTAACTTTCAACCATGCTGAAAAAAGAATAACTTGGGCAGAACTTATTTAGGAGATAGAAAATTTCAACTATATTGGGACTCTCTTTTCTGTAAGAAGATGCCAAATATAATACGCCTTTTAAAAGTGGGCAAAAAGTCTGGAAAAGAGATAATAAATGAAACAGAATATACCTTAGAAAAAGGAAGATTTATGCATATATATTGTACATTAAGTATATTCCACAAGATTAGGCTAGAATAAAGTGAAGTGAAAGGGATATGAGTTATAATAGAGTAAATAATTTTTAGAAATGCTGAAAAGAATAACATTTCAGAAAGTGTAATCAATAAAATAAAGGGTGCATAAGAGAAGACCTATCTAAAATTTGAGAAAGTGAACAAGGATGCGAGAAGTTTGTGGAAAGAGATACCAACGAGGGGGAATTTGTAAACAACGGGCGACATAACAAATCAGAGAATTTCAGAGGTCAATTTTTTTTTTTTTTACAGACTTAAGAAAGAGCCAAGATTAGAAATAAACAAAGAAAAATTAAGTGGAAGTTGACATGGCATAGGAAAACATCAAAGCAGAGCATGGTAAAACATTCAAAGTAAAAAAAAAAAAAGAAAACTTAATGAAAGCAATACTTTTCAATAGCTAATTATTATTCAACTACTATACTCCGAGTTGCGTTAGGAAGATGTGCCTGGTTTATCCTAATGTCCTATGTTTTCTTTGGGGACATGGATATATATTAGATGGTGGGTACAAAGAAACTATGCTGGATGGGGGAGAAAGAATGGCTTTTAAATTCATTGCTCCTAGGCTGTGGGAGAGGGATGCTGAGGCAGGTACTACTTAAGCAAGGTCAGGAAAATGGAAGACGGAAAGTGGGTGAATAACTTGGTGTGCCCCAGCTGACTTATCCATTCAGCACAATAGGCACAGTACCAAGGGCCCATGACGTTAACAAAAATAATTTAATTAGAAAATTTTAAAAAAGGAAGAACTTTCAGAGTCAAAATGTTTGCTTAAATTTGTTTTTTTTACACAATAGGGAAAAATGAGAATTTGGGGGCTCATGAAAATCTATGAAATCATTTTATTTATTTATTTTAATGGAGGAAGGGGCCCACAAAGGGCCCATGAAAGTCATACACCGCCATGGATGTGCCTTGATAAGTTCATTGACGTGTCACAGGTTAAAAATGGTTGGGGGACTCTGGATACAGTGCTGGGTATTTTTCTATAATCACGTAAATCATATACCAGGAACCAATGATCATACGATTTCCAATGCTCCCATAAGTAAATGGTCAATTGCGAGGCCCATGTTTTTATAATCATGCAAGGAGAAAATAAACCCAATGGCAGCAATGCGGTCAAAGTAGGATCTGTACCTACAAAAGACACTGTTGTTTTGTTTTGGTTTTTTCCTCAACTCTATTTACAAGCATTCCCACCAATCACTAAAGGAAGCAGCTTCTGTTAAGACCCTTTCTCCCAAGAGTATATATGGATATTACAGTGCTAATGCATTTTATTCCCTCACCCATGTTACTGCAATTAAACAATTACTTTAACCAGCAGTTATATCAAGTCTGTCAGCAATTGGTTTACTTCAGAAGCGAAATCTCTTTAAGGGATTTCACTAGCTCGGTCATGTTAGGGACATGTGAAAATATGTCTGCAAAAATTTTCCTGCCCTTAGGTAAATATGAGATTTGAGTTAGTGAATCTGTAGTAGATGTCAATAGAATATTGATTGGTTAGTTGACATCTTACATACAATGTTACTCCGCATTCAATACAAACACAGCTGAGTGAAAGTAACTGTTTATAAGTAGACACTTGGCATCCTTTGGAAAAAGTAGCCAAGTGATGGCACCTGTCATCTGGAAGGTCTAGAACCACTATGTTTAAAGAGTTTGTAAATTAGAGATTTGGACCTCAGAATGCATTTTTACTCCTAAAGTAATATTCTTTTTTTTTTTTAAGTTAAAGGTGTGATTACATAAAATTGCAATATTATTGAACAGAATTTGGTTTTTCCTTATTCTTACTGTGTTATTGATAACTGCTTTGTGTTAATTTATAGACTAAGACTGAGAAATTATACACAAAGGATTTCTAAAAATCATTCTCTTAATTCAGTGGCTCCAAGGATGTAGCTATACAATATAACACCAATATGTATGAAGAAAAATTGAGAAAGTCTGTCAATCACCTTTTTGTTTTATTGACACATGGCCAAAGGTGTGTTTCCAAAGAGCTGGATATCTGGCACCTGACTGACAAAAGAATTTATGGAGGGAATGAATTTTTTCAATTTTTAGCCACATACATTGGCATTTTGGAGACAAGGTTTCGTTATTGCTCTTATGACTCAGAATAATAACTACTAGTGTCTAATTTTATAAATTGATTATAAAAGGATCATTTTTTTTAAGAGTCTGTCTCCCAGGTCCTCTCCTTTTATCCAAAATGAAGGCATGCAATGTACTCTTTAAGGGACCGTGATTATTTGAGGAAATATGACTCTAGTATAGATCCTTCTCTCAAAAAACGCATTAATTTTTGCATTGAATTTTTAAAAATGTTTATTTCGAGAGAGAGAGCGCATGTGCGAGTGGGGGAGGGACAGAGAGAGTCCTAAGCAGGCTTATTGCTGTCAGCACAGAGCGCGACATGGAGCTTGATCTCATGAGCTGTGAGATTATAACATAAACTGAGATCAAGAGTCAGTCGCTGAACTGACTGAGCCACCCAGGTTCCCGCGCATTGAATTTTATTTCACTTCAGAAGCCTCCTCAATTCACCTTGTAACATTGTAACCTTGTAACATTGTAACCTTGTAACATTTCCTGAGGAAAGGAGAGGAAGAAGAAAAAAACAGCTTCATGAGAACAGGGCACAGCTAAATTATGACAAAACCCAGTGAGCACTCAAAGGATTGGGTAAAAAATATGCAAATTTTAAATTATCCTTAATTTTTAAAACACAGTTGCTTAATATGACGGGCAAGAATGTACAGTGGAGAAAGGGGTACTTTATAAAATTGACATGCTATTGTAATTATTTACATATCTGACTTCCCCATTACTGTAAAGAATAAGACATAGTCAGTGATTCTCAACTTTGGCTGCACATTAGAATAATCTTAGAAGCATTTAAAGAACATGATACCTAGGGGCGCTTGGGTGGCTCACTTGGTTAAATGACTGACTTTAGTTCAGGTCATGATCTCACAGTTTGTGAGTTCGAGCCCCATGTCGGGCTCTGTGCAGACAGCTTAGAGCCTGGAGCCTGCTTCAGATTCTGTGTCTCCTTCTCTCTCTGTCCCTCTCCCACTTGAGCTCTGTCTCTCCCTCTCAAAAATAAATAAACAAAAAAAATTTTTTTTAAATATGATACCGAATTCAATTGGCCTAGAGGATGAGGCTTGGGCATTAGTATTATTTCAAAGTTCCCACTGTGATTCTGATGAGATGCTTGGGTTGAGAATCTCTGGTGTAGGGTACCCGTAGCACAAGCTCTGGCATATAGTAGATATTAGGGAATTATTACTTAAGTACATGAATGATATCATGAATGTTTCCTTTATGAAACAAATAGTTCAGATTTTTGACCTTCACAGATACACTATCTTTTACTGAAGAACTTAATTAAAAAGTTCATATCTTATGAATGAACAATATGCATAATTGTGCTGTCAGATTATCGTATTTAGTTATCAAGTCTTTCAAAAAGGTCATTTGGAGTCATTCATTGCAAACATCTAAATGTAATTTAATTTTTCACAGTGGATTCTCTAGCAGATCAATGAACGTTCATGCTATGGGTCAACTGATATCATGTGCATCTTTAATCAACAGTAAGTTTGAGATGGAGGAAAAAATATGTTAACTTATAATTGTGTTCAAACATAAGTATTATACATGTGTATTCAAATATAAGATTTTTTTTTGGTAGCACAATGGTGCAAATTTTTACTCTGCTTTTTTCTAGAAGTCTATGTTTTCTTCCAACCCACATTCTTGGGCATGTTTTGGATATGGCACATTCAGAGATTAACTGTAAATGGTCTATTTCATCCACTTACTTTTGAAGCGAAGTCCATCATCATTGGACAAGTTTTGCATGAAGGTCAAAAGAAATCATTTTCCATTAATTATATTCTATCTTGAACAATTCTCCACTGAATTGTAAAAGTAAATCTCCGTATTTACTTTTTAAAAGTTCTAGTGAAAGAATATACTGCTAATTAGGGTTTGATTGGAAGCTGGGAAAGGATCTCACTTCTTATGTTTAATGGTACAATGGGAATATTTATAATGTTTCTGTGTTGTTTAGGACAGACCTTGCCCAAAGAACTTGCTCATGAAAGGGATTGTACATATTGGTGTTCTGTGCTATATATTCTCTGATAAGTTTGAATTTTCTAGCTGACTTTTATATTTTTGTCTTATTCTCATAGTGAAAAGTTAAGAAGACCGGGACTGTTAGGGCACTTGGGTGGCTCAATTGGTTAAGCATCCAACTCTTGGTTTGGACTCAGGTCATGATCTCATTGTTTGTGAATCTGAGCCCTGTGTTTGGCTCGGTGCTGATGGTGCAGCCTGCTTGGGATTCTCTCTCTCCCTCTCCCTCTGCCCCTCCCTTGCTCCTGTGCATGTATTCTTCCACTCTCTATCTCAAAAAAAAAAAAAAAAGTTAAAAAAATTTAACAATAAAAAAAGGCCAAGACTGTAATATTCAACTTCTATTGTAGAAAAGCCCGTTGCATTGTTAGCATCTAATTAAACTCTTACTTAATTTACAAAATGGAGTGACAGAAAGCTGTCCAAGGGATCAGCATCATGAAAAAACTCATAGGAGCCTCAAAAATAAACACCTAATAAAAAGATTTAAAAGTACAGTGAATGCTGATCCCCAAATGGGGTTATGGATCAAAATTATCTGGGGGACTTAAAAAAAAATCAGGTTTTAGTCCAAATTTCTTGAAACAGAATCTTGAAGGTGGTAGGGGAGAAGAAATGATGGCAGAGATTGCTTCTCCTCCCCCAGGTCGAATTCTTATGTAGTCAACTGGGCAAAACTCTGTGGTTAAGCATTTGTGAAACACTGTATAATGGAAGGTACACTGGACAGACATTTGGGTTCCAATCAGACCTTTACCACCAATTAATCTGGGATAATTCACTCAACCTTGATAAATTGCAGTCTCCTCAATGATGGGCTTCTTTTCTAGACAATTTCTCCAGTGACTTACAAGGTCCATTTGTACCTAATATCTAATGATTCTATTAGTTTTATCTTTCATGAATTCCTAAAGCAAATCTCTACTATAGGAGTAAATAAGCAATAAAATGATTAAGTAAAATAGAAAATTAAGCTGTATCCACAATAAAATCCCCAGCACAGGACTGAACTGTGTGCTGCACCAGGAATTTGTGCATGTGTATACAAGTTTTTACTGGATCTGTCATCTAGATTATATCCACCAATGGTCAACAAATTAGAAAACTCTGTGACAATGCACTGGTTCTTACCATTTCAAAAGTATGTAACCTCTTGTACCCCTAAACTTTAGTACAAAAAATTTGCAAAGGCACAATGTATTTTCCAGTCTTTCTCAAACACCATTTTAATGTTTTACTAGTTCCTCCTAATCAGAGAATTATCTACATCAGCAGAATTATTAATTTCCTGATCACTGGCTTTAGTCATTACATGTGTATGCTGCATTTATGCCCAGATTTATATTCCTATATAATGGTATCTAACCAAAGTGTCTACAGTGTGGTACAAAAGAGAAACTCAATAAATGTTTGTTTAATTAATAAAAGAAGCAAGGAAAGAAGGGAAGGAAAAGTAAGAGGTAAAAGGAAAGATGTTGGGCTAATTTAATGAGGAGGGCTTATTTAACAAGGATAATGAAGTTTTCCACATCAGTGGGAACCACATGATCCATTCCCATTAGCTTATGAATGTGCCATAGATAGGCATTGTGTGGAGGTAGAAAGATATCCCTTTAATGTGAAACAAACAAACATAACATTGAGCAGAAGAACTTCCAGAATCAATTCTGAAAAGAATAGCTCACCTTTTTTTAAGCAGAGGCTTCCATTCACTGGTTTTCCCTCCTTGTTGACATCAATTTTCATCCAGCTATGGAGGTATTTCCTGTCCTTCTTGACCACTACCTTGGAGCCTTGTTTCTTGAGAAAGAGAGAGGTATTTTCCACCTCAAGGAACCCTTCCTGCTCATGGCAAGTCCATCGGGGTGCCTGGTAGCAGTGGGTAGAGACAGCTGGTAGGGAAGGGCCACGAGAAGAGCTGGAGATGCCCAGGCACAGAGCAGATTTAACATGAAGGAGTTTTCCATCCTCAGTCCACATCCACTGCTGGTTCTGGCTGGTCCCATTGCACAAACCCACCACCACTCTCTTATTTTTGGAAAGGCACTCTTGTTTATGGACATGGACAATCTGAAACCCCTCTGGAAGATGAGATACTCATAAAGTACTATGTAGAAAATTATAAGGCCCATCAGAAAACAAAACATCCCACCCGCAAATCAGTCCAGTGAAAATACAAGGTTTACTTGTCTTTTGCTATTACTATCATTTCGAGCCAATAGTCCCAGATTCAACACATGTGATTTAAAATCCCAAGGCTGACATTGTCAAACGGTTAAAATGTCATCCTTCGCTCCCTTTCTTTTACTTTCACATGGTTTAGGGAAGAAAACACACTCCCACTGAAATAATAAAAGGAAGCTTGAAAAAGACACCAAACCATCCAAAGAATATGGTGTGATATTTTAGCCCAGTTATTAAATATACTGGTTATAAAAAGCTCCATTCCCCTTTTGACCATTATACTCTTTCCATCTCATCACCATCCCCCATTCTAAAAAAGCGCCCCTTTTTCCAAGTCTTAAGTTAGCACTGCAGTATTTGTACACAAATTACATAGTTTGGATACGTGTTTAAAAATTAGATGTATTCATCTCAAAACAAAACAAAAATAAAACAAAATTTCCCACCCCTCTAAACCTTCTTAGCTAATAGTGACCAGTGAACGTATTGATCACAAGTACAATTTCTTACAGTCCTGGAGAGAAACATTTCTCTATATTGTGACAATCTCTGCAAGTTTCCCTCAAAACTGATAGACTAAAAAAATAAAACAAACAAAACAAAAAAACCCAGCATTTCTTGAACAAAAAAAAAAAATTAAACACCCAATTATTAAACATCAGTATTAAAAAGTGAAATGTTCAGGATCAGAAACCATTTTCTGAGCTTTTACTTAATTTGCTCTACTCTCCCATGAAAATATTCAGACGTTCCTTCCAAATAGCAACTTCCAAATAAAACACACCTCACTTCTTCATCCCCTTTAGTTATATCTCCTTATATTTTCCTTCTTTAACATACACAAAAAACAAAACTATAACCTGATAAGGAAAAAACATGGAGAATGCCACAGACTGCCACATAATAATCAGTTTCTCCTCAAGGTGCTTCACTGTCTCCTATAAAGATGCCATTTCAGGAGCTCTCCGAGTTATTAGGAGGCCATTTATTTTCTTTCAGAGAAAAGTCTCAGCAGAGTGGACAGAGCTGGCTCTTTTTATTCCCCCTCCTCAACGTCTTTGGTTAAACTGCCATGGAGACCTGGCTCCATTTCCACCTTATTTCAGACACTTCAAAGGACAGAGACTCCTCTGCTGGCTGTTGGAGAAATGCCCCAAGGGAGGCAAGCCTACTCACCTGAATTCCCAAAGATTAAGCAGGTAAGAATCGCCATGTAAAATTCAGCCTCCATTTTCCACTTAACAACTGTTCATGCTTTGCTTGGGGGGAAAAAAAAATCTCCCAGATAAGAGAAGCAAAGACTAGGAAGGAAATGTGCCTTCATGGTGGGGGGAAAAAGTCAGTGACGAGCACTTCCTCCTATTGAATTGTTTGGGGAAGTTTTACACCAGTGTCCTTTTGTCTGTTTCCTTAGAAAGAAGGGATTATGATTACCTCTCCTTTTTTTATGTAGAAAAAATTCTGACCTCCAGGAGCAGAATAAAACTTGTAAGTTTTCTCCTACATCTCTTTCGCACATGACTACTTCTTAGCCTCAAGAAGGAAGAAAGGAATTGTAATCTTAGTTAATTGAATGTTCCTAAAACATTACATCTCTTCAGGTGATATTGATTCTGCTGAATAAACACAAGTCATGTAATTTATGAGGGCCTATGACAAGTGATATAAAGATGTAAACATGTACCGTTTGTATAATGATATGCTGGGAGCCTATTGAGGAAAACCACATAATGATGGTACTTCTAGATCATTATCCTTCAAGTGATGACAATATTACATTTAGAGACAGTTATCTCCACTGGGGAGAGGCAGAGACTAAAATTAAACCCATCTTATTACCTACTCCAGGCTTCCCCCAAAAGATAAGAGCTTCTTCCCAAGAGGAAAAAAAAGCAGATGTTTTACTCAATACTTAGTATTAAGAGTAGTTTATTGGCAGTATGAAACAAAGTCAACATAGCTGCATTGAAAATTCATATTTGGGCAGAACATCTAGTGTTTGCTGAGTGCATTTTTTTAACTTTATTTGTCTCTTGAGGATTAAAACCTTTCAGAAATTTAAGAATATCCATGGCAGCAACCTTTTGGAGAACTTCTGGAAATGGGACAGTTTACTTCATTCCCAAAGGGATCTGCCTTTTTTTGGGGGGGCGGGAGGGGAGAGAGATTCTAGGTAGACAGAATATTCAAAAATTCCTTCTTAGTAAAAGAGACACAGATATTTAAAATTCTTGATACATCATAGTTGCTACAAATTTGTTTTTCCCTTTTAAATTAAAATGACTCACAATGTAGAAATACAGTGGCTGGAGTTTTGGAGCAGAAACCACCTCTATGTCCAATAATAGAGAGTAAATACATACACACCCAGTGACAATCATTGTGCTCTGTAATTGATTGACAGGAGGTACTGATAAATACACATTTATAGGTAATATTATCAAGACACATTTCCATATAAAATAGTACTGCTTTTGATTTTTTTTTTTTTTCAAAAACAAGGACTTATTTGTGAAAAATCCATTATCAATCACTTGCGACCTTAACGGCAAGATTCTGGTAACTGAGAAAGGTAATAGCACTTAAAACAGGAACAGTTTAACAGCTGACAGTCCATTCACAAGACAGATTTTGCAAACATTAAAGCATCTAAGCACATAATAATAATTTCTTCAGCAGCTTCTCCAGTTGTCATCTGATGACATATATCACCGAGTATTTCATCCGTACATTCTGTGTGGCAGGTAGTCAATACAGACAAAACAAAAGTCTCCTTAGCTGTGTGAGAAATCTATCATACCTCCATCAGCATAGGACCTTCAAAATAACTTAGGGGATGCTTACAAATGCATTCATATACACAAGAGGCTGGCAATCTTTAATTGTGTTGCCATCTTCCACAATCCGTGCCACAGCTTGGCTTCAGGACTTCTCTTTTCCTTCCATTGCAGGAAGTTCCTTCCAGAAGCCTCAGGTGGGTAATTGATTAACTACCCCTAGAGATTGATGGTCTGGTAAATCTTCAGAGAATCACTGGACAGTTTCTGCTGAAAGTCTGCTCTCATACAGGCACAGAGCATGATGTACAAATTCATACTGCTCACTAGTTTGGACCATTCCACCCCTACAAGAAAGAGAATACAGTAACTTCTTATTGCTAACGTCCTGCAGTCTTAAGAGACTATATCCAAGCTAGGGTATTATGCCAAAGACACAGAACTGTTGACCTGGTGAACTTAATATGCTAATGTGTATAAGGAGATTATCACAGTGCCTGGTATACACTAGACGCTTAATTAATTTTTGCTACATACATTACCGGGGAGGTGGTACTGCCTACTGGGTAAGTACTTAGATTTTCGGACCACCCAGGCTGAGTTGAAATCTCTCCTATACCAATTCTTAGCTGTGTGATCTTGGGCACGTTCCTTAAAACCTTTTATGTTTCAGTCTCCTCCTCTGTTAAAGTGGAATGATAGTACCTATTGCATAGGATTCTTGTGAGCGTTAAGTGAATTCATGTATCTAGAGTGTTAGTATCACTTCTCAGGTGGCTTATAATTCATCTCGTGTTAAAATGGTTTATATACTTGGATTAAAGTTGAAGCAGGTTCACCAAACAAACTCAACTGTGAGGTGTTGCTCTTTGTACAAGTAGAAAGAACAACTATCCTGGAATGGTCTCATTGGGTATGTGATATAGAAACAACCTTAATCTTTAGGTGTGGTATGCTGGGTATCTGAATACAATAGTGGGCGGGACTTTAAATGAGTTGGAAAAAGGGAATTGCTTTTTTCCCTTTGTTATCAACATTATCATTACTAGTTACTCAGGGTACCTTTTGTTCCTGGATTAGTAGAAGGCAGCTACCTTCCTGAGAAATATTGATGATGCTTCTCATTATACTTCTATAGATTAATTATATCACATTTTGCTCTTTATAATAACAGTTCTTTTACCTGGCAAAGCTACTGATAGTAATGTAAATGATACCTATTGTTCCTGCTCACTGAATAACAGAATCACTGTTAGTAACTATTTGATGTCCTATAAAGTCTCTATAACCATACAGTCCACTGATTTCATTATTTCATTATTTATTTACTTATTATTGAGAAAAAGGGGGTACTAGTGTGCGAGGGGCAGAGACAGGGAGAGAGAGAGAATCCCATGCAGGCTCTGCACTGTCAGTGTGAAGTCTGAAGCAGGACCGAGCTCACCCCAGGCGGGACTCCGGCTCACCGGATGTGGGGCTCAAACTCATGAACCGTGAGATGAACTGAGCCAAAGTTGGATGCTTAACTGACTGAGCCACCCAGGAGCCCCACAACCCATTTTAAAATTACGTTTTAGCCAGTTCTTCCAAGAGGTTGTTACCATTCAAAATAATTAATTCTTGGCCATGTAAGCACTTCAACTTTAAAAACAAGATAGACTACCTCAGTGTAATGTGATTTCTGGTTAATGGTAATAACTGAAACTGAGCTTGTATCTATGTTTACTTGTCAACCTCTATAAATATAAGCTTACAAAACATTAAAATATTAAGCCTTCTCTCCTCTAAACTACACAGTGATGTTATTAAGTGAGTGAGATTTCACCCTTCTAAATTAAACTAAGCAGGTTGACATGATGCCAAAATGATGTATTTGGCAAGAAACAAAGAGGTAAATTTCAGTGATAGCAACTTAATGGCAGAAGTATTTCATTGGTCTTTCCCCCCAAAACTATACATTTTGTTGTATTGAAGGCAACTTTCTGGCCAATGTGTTCCTTGGTCATAAGTTGACAACAGAAATGGCAAACTGAAGATGAGGTTTTTCTTCTTCTTCTTAGCTGGATGGTAACATCTGGGCCCACCTCAAACCACAGGAGGTGTCCAAAAGATGTTGGCTTTGGCTGTGATGCTTAAGAGACACAGCCATAGTAAATAGTAGGGCAGCTCCAGGAAGCTGAGAGGTACCTCCCTTCACCTGGCTTCACACAGCTCAGAGAACCATTAGTTTTCCCCCTTGAACTGCTGATGGTTCAATGTGGGGCCTTAGATGTGGCTCCATCTCTTAGGCTCTCCTCTATGAACTTCCTTTCACCATTTACCTCACTTTGAGGTAAGCTCTTCCCTTTCTTGTCTGTTCTGGTGAGCAATGGTATTTACGTGTCCAACTGGTGAATGAACAAAGACATGGTCCAAGTTTTCATACCCATGTTACCCCCAAGTGGGTCAGCAGCATATCTTCTTGCTCAGCGTATATCTTCTATGACATTCTGTTAACTAAGTCAAGATTGTTTCTGCCAGCAAGTATGGGGGAGATGGGGAAACAAACTGATTAGGTGTAGGCTAGCAAAATCTTGTGGGTATGCAGGTTTAAGGAAGGTATATGAGAAATTATTACTTCCCACCTAATTTGGAAAGCATTTTCAGCAAAGTGATTCAATTTATGCCAATTGTCGGCACAATGTAGGCTTTCCAGAAGGGAGCAGTCAGTCTACAGTATGGCATATGGTCAGCTAGTTTCTGCTGGAATGCTCATGGGGAGGTGAGAGGTCTTAAGAAGCAGCCTTTCCCAAAGTTGCAGGAAAGCTTCTGAAGAGAGAAAATGAATCTGCTCCTATCTAACTTTCACCCCATTGGTTGAACTGAAATAACCCCAAAAAAAGTCTAAAGACTCCCTCTCGTAGTCACACAATAGCTTTCTAAATGCTGGAAAACAACCATCAAAGTCCCGTAATCTTTTCTTCTCTAGACTAAACATCCTGTGGTCCCTCAATATTTCTATAAAGTTCGGTTTCCCGGTCACCCACCAATCTAGTCTCCTTCGTGTATAGGCCATTTTATCAAAGATGACCTTCTTACTGTGTTGTGTCTACTCCCGACAGGATCTAGTCACTGGGAATATTTTCTCCTTTGAGCTGCATGTCATAGGCCAATGAGCTTGCATTTGCAGGTACATCAGATGATAAGATCTCATGGTACCCATCTGGTGCCTGGTGCCCAACAACACTTTTAAGATATTGAGGGAAGGTTTGGGCTTATGAAGTCTGCAGGATTTTTTGTTTGTTTGTTTGTTTTAATTTTGAGTGTGAAAGTTACAGTTTGCTCTCATCCTGTACTTAAGCTATTGACTTTTTGAAACTAAGTACAGGATTTTCTAATCAGTCCTATTAATTTCAACTTGTTGGTTTCAGCACAAAGTTTTTATTTACTGTCATCATGATTTCTATCATTCAATATATTAACCTTTTGTTTCTTACTCCCAGCATTGTGTCTTAGAGATATTTAAGAAGCATG